TTTCTATCTTTGGGTTTTTTTGTTGGTTTGTTTTGTGGTTTTTGCCTTTTTCAGACAGGGTCTCACTATGTGGTTCAGGCTGGCCTTGAGCTCACTTTGTAGCCCAGGCTGGTCTTAGAACTTACAATGATCCTCCTGCCTCAGCCTCCCAAGTGCTGGGATCACGGGCATGCGCCACCACGCCAGGCTGTGTCAATATTTATTTTTAAAGTGAACATTACAGACACATAATCCAGAGATTAGCTTTACAATTAAGTTACCACAGAACACACTATACTGCTTTAGGGTATCTTCTTCTGCTGGTGTATTTTGTGGATGATTCTACAAAGAAATAATTGACATCAAATTTTTCATATTACTTACTTCTCCAGAACTCTTCTACATGAAAAATGTTCACAAGATTTTGAAACTGTGCTTACATATAGGGTTGCTCCCCAGTGTGACATGTTTCATGTATTTGAAAATACTTGTATGTACTAAATGCTTTCCCTCGTTGCTTACATACCTAGGGTTTCTCCCCAGTGTGAGTTTCCTCATGGACTTGACAAGGACTGTCTGTACAGAATGCTTTCCCACACTCTTCATGTTGATTTCAAGCTTTGTATTAATAGTATTTATCTACCTCTTCACTGCTTGAATTTCACCATCAACTTCTTTTTTCTTTTTTAGACAGGATCTTGCTACGTAGTTCAGGCTGGTCATGAATTCACTCTGTAACCCAGGCTGGCCTCAAACTCACAGCTATCCTCCTGCCTCAGCCTCCCAAGTGCTAGGATTACAGTGTGTGCCACCGTGCCCAGCTTTGCCATCTATTTCTGTATCCTTCAGTTTCCTGGTTTTTATTCTCTTTAATTGTTTGATCAATCTTGCATTCTTACCTCTGGTAATCTGAGCAACTTCGCTGAACAATATATAATATAATAAGACATGATTATTGTTAATTCCTATCATCTTGTTTTGAAATCCTGTATCATTTATATTGTTTTTACGTTGTTGTTTTTTCTCTTTGCTGTTGCTATTTTGTTATTCTTTTCTCTTTAAAATAAATAAATAAAATAAAATATAGTACACCTAAAAAAATTTCCTGGTTCTCCCAGTCTTTCCCTCACAATTGCAAGGTGTTACAGTCAGGGTTTGCAAGGGGAACAATTTAATACAGGGCACATAATTTATAGGATTATTTTATAATTGTCACCCAAAGAGTCAAATACAAAAGAGTATAGGAAATATGTGCACACACTGAAGA